AATGGCACAAACACTGTGGAGAACAAGTTAGCGGTTCCTCAAAAAACTAAACATAGAATTAACATATGACCCAGCAATTCCACTTCTGAGCATATCCCAAAAGAATTGAAAACAGGGAATCGAACAAATGTTCACTGCAGCACTATCCAAAATAGCCAAAAAGTGGAAGCAACCCAAGTGTCCACCTGGGGATGAAGGGATAAACAAAATGTGGTACAAACCATGATGGAGGATTATTCAGGCTTAAAAATGAAAGAAGTCCTGACATGTGGATGAAGCTTGGAGACATTATGCTAAGCAAAATAAGCTAGACACAAATACTGTACGATTCCACTTACATGACATATCTATTACAGAACAGATACATTCATAGAGATACAAAGTACATTAGAGGTTACCAGGGCCTGGGGGAAGGGGAAAACGGGGAGCGGTTGCTTAACGGTTACAGAGTTTCTGTTTGGAACCATAGATAAAGGTGATAGTTGCACAACATTGTCAGTATAATTAATGCCACAGAATTGTGCACCTAAAAATGGTTACAATGGCAAATTTTATCTAATGGTATATTTATTTTACCACAATAGAAAAAGAAAAAAAAAACCACAAAACTGAAAATCAATGAAGGCTCAGGCCATCAGGAGTTGAGCGGCCAACAGGAATCAAGAAGGGAGAATGACACATTGAGGTGCACTCTGTGAACCCGCAGAAGACGGTGCCAGGTGGCAGCCTGGCCACGGGGGGGGGGGGGGGGGGCTAGGCCACCTCTGCCTCCGCCCTGGCCAGCCCGGGGCCAGCTACAGGGCACTGTGCAGGAATAAGTACTCAGCTAGTAGATTCCTTCCCAGGAAACTGAGGTAAAGCAAGAAAAGAAGAGTTACAAAATAAGGAAGGTCCTGAGTATGGCCAGTAAGATCTTTGGGAAAAGGTTAAAAGGAACTAGGATTTCTTAGCATCGATCTCAAAAATAAGCTCAGTGGTTTGTCTACCCCAGTGAAGACGAATGGATGCTTTCAGTAGAACTGTGAACGAAGGGGAAACCTGTAAAATCTTCTGAACCTGTATTTCACTGGAAGAGTCAACATAAACACAAGCTTTCTCCATTCTAAATTTGGTTCTGGACTAACAGATGCTTTCTCTTGCTATTTCAGTCTCAATAAACACTGAGAGGTAAGGAAGCACCACGCCTACCTCCAGGAGAGAAAATAGCTTTCACTGGCTTTTTCCTTGGCACTTTAAGGTAACAAGGCACTTTTTCAGTTTAAGGCAGTAAAAACAGGATGTCTTATTTTCATATTCCATGGTCAATTTTTTCCATCCATACATCACCCTCATTCACTTAATGTGCCATTTGGAAAAAACAAAAGCCCACAGAGGCACAGTCCCCTCCATTCAACTCGAATGTAAGGCTGGAATGGAGACCCGGGAGGGGCACCTGCAGGCAGCCACACAAAGAGCCACTGTTGCCACCAGCCCCACCCTCCTGGGCCACGGCGGCCACAGAATCCTCCTACTTCCAAGTCCCCAAGATCCCTACCACAGGGGGCATCAGTGCCCAGAAAAGCCAGCCTGCTCAGGGTCAACCAGACCACACACCTCGCGACAGCAGAGCAAAATACCTCACAGAACTGCAAAGAGTTACTCACAAAGTACCTGCAGCAAGGTAAGGAAAGGAACATTTTTCATCAACCCTTCTACCTAGAGACCACGTGCAACAAATGAATAAAATCGCCACCTCCAAAACAATAAAAACACCCTCCTTAAAGGCACCTGCGGAGGGCTGAGATGTCTGACTCTCCCTCGTCCTTAATTCCTAGATCCTGATTCCTAAATCCCAATAGAGTCCACAGCCAACCCGTCTCCCAAATCGGCGGAGAGAGGACAAGTCTTCTGTCTTCATTTTCATGCTTCCTTCATCTCTCTTTTGGGGTTTGAAGTACACAGACAAGAGAAGAATGTTAACAAAAGAAATACATGTTCTAATTACATTTAGATTTTAAAATATTTAAAAGTCTGCCATATTTGAAAAATTCATTCAGAAATATAAAGAGCTTCAGGAATGATTTGCCGCTGAGTACCGGTTCCAGGCGCTTCAGGTGCTGGTGTAAGTTAAGAGCCAGTCGATCCCACCATCGGCCTCTGCTGTCAGGACAATAAATTCTCTGAGACAAAAGGCTTTCAAGTTCCTTGACAGCTTCCTATTGCAACAGTAACAAAGAAAGCTTATTAGACTCACAGAAAATCTGCTGTAATTATATTTAGAAGCCCATAGGATTGGTATAGTATATTTATAATGCATATTTTTCCATTCTACAATAAGGCCAAGGACCCTGGACTGACAGGTCAGGGACTCTGAGATGCATTCTGGTATGGGCAGGACTTTACCCAGGTCCCTGGTCTGCTGGCACTGAGCTTATGGAGGTCTGTGAAAACCACACAGTGTTCTCTGCAAACCAAGTCAACCAGCCCAGAGTCCAAGAATCGAACTCCAGGCAGCGAGCGACGGACAGGGCTGGCAAACCCACATGCCTCTGGGAACCCAGCAGATCACGGGACCGATGGCCAGAAGGATTTGGAGTAGGCAGGACAGTAATGAGAAGTGTCCTCATCCAAACACCCCACCTCAACAGGAAAGCCCTCTGGTCTAGATTTATGTACAGACTGGTCATTCTGTGTGTTAAATGGTTTGTGGATCTCTTCAATACATGTAGTGATTTACCCCAGAAAAATGCCTAAACCCCTATACACATACAATTTTAGGGTCTGCAGATTTCCCTGAAGCCCATCCAATCCTCTTGGGATTCACAGCCCCAGGTCAAGAACCCAGCTGAGCATATATACTCTTTGTAAGATACCACTTTTCAATGCAGAAATTTCAAACACGGCAGAAGTGAACTCTAGCGACTTCACAATGTTTAATATAAGGATATGACCAAATTTCTGATTTGTGATTATAAATTATCTCCAGACAATCCGTGACAGCTGAGAGGGAAGCAGAATGAGATGGGAGATTTCCACCTGAGAGAATGTGGGTGCTCCCAAGCCTCACACCGAGGTCTAAGAGAGACTCAGGCTCAGGCTGCAGAGACCTGGGTGGGGGTCCTACAGGCTCCATCCACCACCCGCAGCCATCCTGGAACACAGACTCAGCAACTCACAAGCAAACAAAGCAGTTGTTTGTTTCCAGTTGTCTTCTCTCTACTAATACAACAGACAGCAGGTTGCCTATGTTAAATATGCTTTCATCCTATTACTGTGTGTGGACCAAGTATGTGGGAAATGCTGCCAGCTCGGCAGCTTTTCCTCCACAATTTTACCGCTGTCACCTCTGTAAAAGGTGGGGCGGGGATTTGTGCTCTAACCTCGTACATGTGAACTCTCTGCAGTATTTCAACAGTCCGAGACAAAATCCTCGTGTAAATCCACCCAACAGTGAAACACCGCAGAAAGAGTGGTAAGTCCTCGTGGTATCTAAAATGAAGATGTATACCAGTAGTTTAGTGATTTGGTTTATTTGTTGTAAGACATTATAAGAAGTAGCAAAGCAGAATGAAGTCCTATCTTTTAAGATATATTTTAAATACTTTTGGTTGTGCAGTTTTCTACACCATGAGCCTACCTTCCCACAGCCAGCTGCCATGTCCTAGGACATTCACTCAGTGGAGTAAGATGAGAACAACTATTCTAAATACTCTACAAATACTCTAAACCAGGATCAGCAAAATCCAGCCCACAGGCCAAACCCAGGGCCCTGATTTTCTAAATCCTGCAAACTAAGAATGGTTTTTACCTTTTTAAATAGTTAAAATAAGCCAAAAGGACAAAAATATTCTGTGGCATGTGAAAATTACATGGAACTCAAATTTTGGTGTCCGTAAACAAAGTTTATTGGAACACAGCCATGCTCATTTATTTATGTACCGCCTGTGGCTGCTTTTGCCCAACAAAACAGAGTGAGGTCACTGCCACAGAGACCACATGGCCTGCAAAGCCAAAAATATTGACAATCTGGCCTTTTACAGAGAATTTTTATCAACCTCTGTTCTATAGGACTCTAACTTACTGACTATGATTTTTAAGTCGATATTATTTCTTTATAAAATGTCCATCCTAAATGTTTTTCTGAAAGAGGCACTTGATAATGCTAATTCTTCTCATCACAATTTAACAACAAAGGAAAAAATTTCTCAACAAAATACCAAAGATGTTTCACATTTTTCATTCAAAACAATGAAAGATCTTGTGCTGTACACTTGGAATGTTTAGAGTAAAAGTTCGTTTGCTTGAGCTATCTGTAATGGAATAACATCTTCTTGAGGTTCCATTGGAAGAACACACTTAGCGTGCTGCTCACATCTGTCCTGCTGCTGGTCTCCCTCACATTTGAACTCAGCTCAGCAGTGATTAGAGAAGCCAGCACAGCAAAAGATGGCAAGCTAGAAGCTGAATACAGTATTTGTTCACTTGACTGTCTGTTGCACAGGGATCTGAATTATATATTATAAAATTCACTTTAAATTTTCAGACATTTCCTTCTATTTCTCACAGCACTTTGACTCTACGCAAAGCGAGTAAAAAATTCAGTTCCACAGCTGGTTTAACCACAGAGCAAAAGGAGTATATTCTTCATGAAGAAAGGTACCTTCAGTGGTTGGAACAACTTGGTCAATGTGTAAATTTTGGTAGGTACCTAAAAAAAGATCTCACCTCAGAGAAGGGTGGTTTTTCAGTTTGTTCCAATCTTTTTTTGCACATTGAGAGAGCTCCTTAGCCTCTTCCCAGTTCCCATTGGCCATTGCAGTAGAAATGTCATTCAGCATGTGCACAGCTGCTGCATATCTGGGGGTGGGGGGGGAGATGCCATCCAACTTTTAAATACGAATGAGTGTTTCCATAAAATTACCACATCCTAGCCACTAGATCTAATTCTGAAGGGTAAAAGCGTGGTTTTGAAAATATGAGGGTCATTTAAGCTTTATTCTAGTAATAATTTAACATAATTACCCGACTGGAATGCCCTAGAAGAACCGATATAGGCTGCCCAACTAAAAAGATAAAAACTCTATGATTACATAACATGTTTCGATATATAAATGTGAAAATGGTCAGCTCAACATTCCTGGTTTTTGGCACTCGTTCCCTCATTCATTCAGCAATCGGGCAGCAACCATGTAAACACGTACCTGACTTCAAAATTATAGTAAGATGCAGATTTGATAATTTAATCATAGTCAGAGTGGCCAGAGGGATACTGACCAAGCCAAAAGAATTACTTAGGATATTTCAAAAATAACTTCAAGAGACACCCTTTCAGAGATGGCAATGCTTTGAAATATCATGACACCACTTAGCTGAAGAAAGACTTCTCATTGCTTTTTTAAATATCAGAGCCAAAGATATCTGACCAACAGATTCTGTGACATTTGGAGTGCACATTCATTGTATTTTGGACTCACAACTAAAAGCATACAGTATGTATGCTTTTATGTAAGCATCAGTATGTATAAACACTGTAAAATAAAAGAAATTGCCTCCAAATGTAAAAATTTCCTTACAAACTCTTAAATCTAATTCTTTTATAATATGCTGCTCGTTCAATTCCATGGCTTCAAACACCATCCATGTGCCAGTGACTCAAAATTTTCTCTCTCTCCAGGCTAGACGCATTCCCTGTGCTCCTGACGGCATGTCCAATGCCACACATGACAGCTCAGAGTGGGTGGCTCAAGGGCAGCCCACACACTGACCCCCACAGAACGAACAGCCCCGCTGCTCCTCTGCCCACCCCCTCACTGGACGGTACCACCACCCAAGGCAAAGCACCAGAGCCGCCCTTGCTCCACTCCTTCCTCCTCCCCTACATCTAATCAGGATCAAGCCTTTTCTGCTTCCAAACTATCATATGTGTATTCACTTCTCTCTACTGCCTCTGCCACCAGCCCAGTCCAGACCACCCCCAGGGTCTCCCATCAGACCACCACTAAGGTCACACCAGCTTTCCCACAGCTTCTCTCATTCCCCTCAAACCCCTGTCCACAAGATGCTTTTGTAAAAACATGAAATGGATCACTCGCCTGCCTAAACCTCTTCAATGACTTCCCGTTACTAAGAGAACAGCTTTGGTCTGCTCACCAGGGCTCCGAGGCCGAGCAGCCTCTGATCCTTG